TGTCTTGTATTGTTTTAATTATTTATATGCTAGTTTATTTTATATGAATAATATAATAAATGACAAAATATGAAATCCAGAATAATTGTTCAGAGTTAGCAAATTTAAAAAAAGTATAATATATTAATATAAAACCCGGCCGAAGGCCGGGCAAAATCTGGCAGAAGGTCCGCAAATTAGGGGGTATAGGGGCAAATCCCTACAGCCTCATATTTTTTTAAGTTGATCCCCCTGAGATTGTAAAGGCTAGCGACGCCGCTGGATATTGCTAAACTGCATATTACAAGCAAAGAGCTTAAACCTATTTTAGAAGATATCACTATATTATTATAATTAATCTAAATATTAATAATTAAGAAAAGAAAAATAAATGCTTTTAATAAAATATTTTGTTTAATAAAATTGTATCAGTAGCAAATTAAATATAAAATTAAAATAAATAATGGACTCATGATCAGGGTTGCCAGGTCAAAATTTTCAAATTGCCGGATAAATTTGGTATTATGCGGGAGAAATACGAAAATTGCAGTAGAAAATATCTAAAAAAAAATTTTTGCGGGCTGAATTGACTTAATTATCCCCCTATTATTTTTTATAATTAGTTTATATAAATAAAAAGTCGGTAACTATTTTTCAAAATAAAATAACATCTTGATTTATTAAAATATATTAATTTATAAAAAAACACGATCTTTTTTAAATATACAAAAATGTAAACAAGATAAAATTTTATAAAAAAAAACGATTTTAATTTTACAATTAAAAATATATTTTATGCGAATGACCCGCAAAACGACTGCAATTGGAAATCTACCGTGTGTGTGTATAACATTATAGGGATAGGCGCTTAATTATCACGTATCACGTTTAAATACATTATAAAATACTCCAAAAATAAGAAATAATACAAATGCAACTACAGTTGCGGCAATTGTAATCACTTATCTTGTAGTACAACATTCAAAGAGACACTTATCATCACAATGTTTGTAGAATCTTTTCCCCATAATATTTAACGACTCTAATATAAATGAAAACTATATTTGTAGTGTTGTAGCTGTTGAAAAAAAAGAAGAAATAAATTTAATATAATATATTAAATGTCAGTTATTTTCTAACAGGGGAATTAGTGTTTCCTTGTGGATGGGAGTGAAACGAAATCATCACATGGGTTTTTTTGGTAAAAAACAATAAAAGTTTTTTTGTGTGCGGGTTGGTATGAAAAAGACATTATATTGGATGAAGCCAGGATGGATCGTGAAGGATTTAGCAATTTAATGATTATCGTTTATGATACTTAGATATTTTTATATATTTGTACGAATAAATTGGACTTGTAAAATTGTCCTTGTTGGTAATGTTTATTGTTGATATTTATATAATTATTATAAAAGGATTGTTTTGGATTGTTAAGTTATATTTTTTAGAGAGAAGGGTTGAGAGTAAGAGGCATTTGTAGAACAAAAATGAGCAAGGCTATCAATGTTTTAGGACTTAAATCCAGAAGGTCACTTCTTGACGTTTTGAAAGATGGGCATACATATGCAATTCTAACAGATGCATTTAATAAGGGAAATATTAAAATATTTACCTTGATCCTCCCCTATTTCAACAAAATTAAGGTCGTTTCAATAAAACTATTAAATTTTTTCCCCTCAAATAGTGAAAAATCCAAAGACATAGCTAACCACATAATGGTAAATATAGCAGATTCGAGATTATCAATAAATTGCATGTTAGCTTTCTGATCTGGTAATGCCTCAGTAAATTTGGTAAAACAGAGTGTATTTACAGAATTGAGTCAGCACAATGTTGGTCGCGATATGTTCCTAATACCCACCATCGATAGAATTTTAAAATTTTATAAACCTTTAAAAAAATATTTCTTAAATTAATATTATATAAGCTGTCCTGACATTTTGAAAATTATTTTCAATAATGAATGGCAGAGGTTTATTTAGGAATGATTTCACATGTAGGAAATCTACTATATGCTATGTGTAATTACAATCAGAAGAATCTTAACAAAAATTCACAAAATTATGCTGCAGATGTGTTCATCTTTACAGTTAAAAATTGACAATAAATTTTATGGCGCCATTGCTAAAACTTATTAATATTTTATTTGAAAATTAAATAATAGAACTTTTGTAAAAGACAAAATTCTTATTCCACGTCTTTCAACTATCGTACCGTCGTTATTGAGATATTTATAAAATTCCTGGCATGACATATTAAATATTTGCTCGGCCTCTAATGTTGTTAAACAATCCGATTTCTTTCCTTTTTCCAGGTAGTTCTCATCAGGCTAAAAATGCGTTCGGATGAGGCATTAGAATGAGGTAAGGAGAAGACATACTCGCATATTTTTACCAAGCAAAGGATTTATCGTTATTACGAAAAAATTCTACCCATTTCTCCTCTGTTTTTAGACCATCTAACTTTAAGTATTTTGGCGAATCATAAAAAATAGAGAGAATTACAATTTCCACAAGCAAGAAATCAATGTCTTTCGGTATTTTTAATATATTTATTAAATTATAAAAACCATCAATTGATGGTTCCTGTTCATAATATTTATACATTTGTAAATATTTATTAAAATCAAATTTTGATTGTAAATATTCTAAAATTGTCTTAATAAAAATATCTGCTTCATTTAAAAATGAATTAATTAGAGTATTATTTGAACATTTTAATATAATATTTTTAGCAATAGCGCCATAAAATTTATTATCAATTTTAACTGTAGAGATGAACAAAGCTGTAGCATGATTTTGTGAATCTTTTTTAATAAAGAATATTCTGATTGCAACTGAATATTAACTCTATGAAGTAGATTTCCTACATGTGAAACGAATCCCAAATATTGCCATATTTCATACTCGAAAAATTTATCAAAATTTTAGGACAGCTTTTAAAATGTATATTTAAGAAGTATTTTTTAAGGGTTTATAAAATTTTAAAATTCTATCGATGACAGGTATTAATGACAACCACCTGATAGGTATATATCGCAACAACTCACACCATTCCAAGTCAGACCACTTCACCACCTCTTTTAATTCATTAACTCTTTTAGTTGATGAACTAAATTCGTTAAAACATTTCATCACAATTATTTTGACATCCACAGATAGTACATTCTTTGCCTTCTTGCAAGAATCATGTAGTATATGGCATATACAGCCAATTAATATAAATTCATTATTGTGCTGCCTCAATTCGGTAACTTTGGTTTTTGCCAAAATTTACAAAGGCATTATCAGCGAAGAAAGCGGGCATGCAAATCATTGATAACCCTGAATCAGCTATATTTACCATTATGTGGCTAGCTACATTGTTGGATTTTTCACTATCCGAGGAAAAATTTTTAACAGTTTTATTGAAATGTTCTTATTCTTGTTGAAATAGCGAAGGGGGAAATGTTTTAATATTTCCCTCATTAGATGAATCTGTTAGAATTGCATATGGATGCCCATCTTTCAAATCGTCTAGAATTGACCTCTAGGATTCAGGTACTAAAACACTTGTGATAGCCTTGCTCATTTTTGTTCTGCCACAAGTAAGGTTTGCACTTATATTGGAGTCGTTAAATATCATGAGAAAATGATTCGACCCACATTGTGATAATATAGCTCTGTGAATGTTGAACTACATGATAGATGTATACTATTTCCGCAAATGTAGTTGCATCTGTATTATTTATTATTTTTGAGAATATTTTTGTATTGCAATCGATGTAGATATACTCCACTGTACTGACTTATATGAATGAAAGATTTATTATTGGATAAAAATAAAACAGGATAGAAAGAAATTTACACACTAGATATGTTTTTCGAATAAATATTTGAAATTTATTTAAAAAATATAAAAATAATCAATTAATGTCTCTCAAAATTATTATTTTTATATTAAAAACGTTAAAATACTATTAAAAAAAATTGCAGGAGAAAAATTGCGGGAGATTTCCAATTACTGTAGTTTTGCGGGAGAGAAATGTCTGCGTGTAAACTAAAAAATTGCGGGAGTCTCCCGCTGATGGGGAGAGACATGGCAACCATGCTCATGATATTAAGAACTAGCCAAGAATAAAATAATTATTATAAATATAACCATGATATTACTTATATTAAGAATTGGTAGTAAGACAAATTATCATCCATATATTCAACATGGTGTCAATGGCGTCTCTAGCTGATTTCCATTGATACATGCTTTAAAATGCATTTTAATGAATGAATTGTCAGTCTAGGTATTATTAGTCATTGTAAGAAACATGGTATTTAAAATAATAAAATTGTTTAGTGATTTTGACTCGGCTAATTACAATATTAAATTTGTTAATTTTTAATTAATAAATGATTATATTTATTTAATTAGGATTATATATAAAAATTTAAATAATAAAAGTTAATTAAGCTTCAACTGTTTTTGCTAAATTGATATTTAGTGAGTGATATTGATATTCTATTGTTAACACAGAATTTGATTGCAAGCTTACATAGTGAAAATGTATTTTATATGTATTGATCTCATCTAATAATTAAAATACTACATTTAATAAAAATTTATGTAGTCTTTTAGATAATAAAATTAAATATATATATTACGTATTAGAATTATAAAAGAAATCAAAAAATTTATTTTTAGTTCTAGGGGATATTAAGGAGCCATTAAAAAATTTTTTTTACTTCAGGGGGCTATTCAAATATTTCAGAGGGCTCGAGCCCCTGCGCGCCCTCCCCTAGTGACGCCACTGATATATATGTAAATGATTTAAATAAACAATTTCCTTGAAAATATTTATTTCCTGTCAAATTAATATCTCAACTATTATTATTCTTCGGTTAAGAAATATTAGCTTTAAAATAATTGTAAATAATTTAATAAACAATTCATAAATAATCCTATAAACAATTCATAAATTTTATAAAGATTAACTTTTAAAATATTAAAACATCTTATTTTTTTTTGACAATGATTGACCTCGTCAGTCTTAAAATTTAGGTATTTAATTGGTTTACCATTACAAGTTTGGTTCAATTTTTATTATATGGGGAAATTGGATGTTAGCCTTTTAAGATATCTTAACCCTGAAGATATCAGGGTCCTAACGGCAGTAATTATTTTAACATTTTAATCTAAATTGTGAATTTTCATAGGTTGAAATGGGTATGAAAAATCACGAAATTGTACCTGTAAATTTGATATCTGTAATAGCAAAATTAAGATCAGGCGGATGTCACAAGATCCTAAAAAATCTGTGTAAAAATAATTTAATTTGTTATGAAAAAGATAAAAAATGTAAGTAATAATAAGTAGTCATTATAATTCTATAGATTTTTATTGTTTTTAAATTTTAAGCTGAGGGCTATTATCTTACTTACAAAGGATATGATTACTTAGCCTTAAAGGTTTTTATCAAACAAGGTCAGATATCTCATTTTGGAAGTCAAATAGGCGTTGGAAAAGAATCTGGTAATAGAATTTATTATAATTCACTATATTTCCATTTAAATTGCACAAAAAGGCTAATATATTTAAAATATTTTTTATATAAAATTTAACATATGTATGCTTTAACATTATATAAGAATATAATTTCATTTATCTAATGACTTACATCAATTACCTTTATTATAATTTTGAAATTAGTTTCAATTATTGTTAAATTTACAATATGGATTTTGATAATATAGCATTTGATATAATCTTATTTTAATAAATTATTTTTCATATATTATTTTCTACCCATTATTTAATTAATTTTTTTAATTAAAATATGGCATTTAAAAATTAATTGAATGTTTGACTTTTAAATAATTAGAAACAAAAGTTTTGTTTTGTTCTAATACAAAAAAAACAATTATTTAATTGAAATAAAATGCAATTTGAAATATTCCATAATTTTTAGCTAAAAATTAAAAAAATAATAGAATAAAAAAAATAAATTAAATTGATATTTTAATCAATCTTTATCATATCATTATTTTTAAGTTGCAATAATGTATTAAAATACTACTTTTATAGAAGTGTGCTAATTGCTATTTTTCTACACTGCTACAGCTATTTTTTAAAACCCAAGCATGATAAAATTTACCATTACAAAAATTAATATGCTAAAAGCTATCTTTTAAAAATTAACTAAGTAGTTTTATATAAAAAAATTGAAATTGAAATATTTTTAAATATAATAGTTGGTTGAGGATTATAATGTTCCATTTCAATTTTTCCATCATTACTGAAGAGCTCTGATGAGATGGATTAATGTGCTATTTGATATTTGGATTGGCATATAACATTATATTCTTTAGAGTGCTGGTGTTGGATTATACATTTCCCCCAACTTTTAGTTATTTATAGGAAAGTATTGGCTTATCATGATTGGAAGATTGTTTATAAGAAATAGTTACATTTCATCTTTTTTATTTTAAAAAGATTTCTTTTTATCAAAATTTTACAATTATGAAATTATTGATTTTTGATAAAATTTATATAAATATATGATAAAATATTTTAAATATTAAATTGGGAGATTTTAATTGAGATTTTTCATAATTGCCTTCAAAAATGGTTAACCATATGACTTTTCTCATTTAGCTGGCAAATAATTGATTCATTTAATATTTTAATCCTCATATTCTTAATTCTGGTTTAAAAAAATAGTTATCCTTATAATTTTTTTATCTGTGCATTGTAAAAATAATATATTCTTAGGGATGTACCGATATTTTTTATCGGATTGAATCGGGCTGTATGTCACCTATTTTAAAATATCGGTTATCGGCCAATATTATAATATTTTTCGATCTGATAAAAAATGGCGGTTTTAACAAAAATAATAATAATTAATTAATAAAGATTCTGCCGTATTGTTATTTTTTTTGCGTTTTCTTTTTATAAAAGTACGCAACAATCTCTTCAGAATCTGTTTTTAGTGAAACTGGTTATATTGACACTCCCCATCACCACAGGCTGACCTCTAATAAATTGGAAATTTTGGTATTTCTAAAAAGAAATCTTCGATATATTAATCTTAAATATTAATTTCAAAGGTTATTACTTATTATATAAATAAGTGATTTATCAATAAAAATATTTTGTACACTTTTAGAATTGCAATTGAATTGAATATAAATTATAACTGATCATTATAATATATTTAAATGATATATGTTATAGTATAGTTAGATTTTAGATGTTATACTAATAAAAAGTATATTAAAATTTAAAACATTGGTATATTTATAGATATGATATCGGATCGGTAACCCGCCGATATTAATTTAATACCGGGAATATCGGATCGGTCGTCAAAAAATGGTATCGGCACACCCCTATATTTTTTATCATTTTATTTTCATCGTATAACTACCTTATCTTATCTTGATGTTACATTTTCTTTCCAAAATAATAAAAATCGATTGACGAGTTTAATTTTGCTACATATGATTCGAAAATAGTTTTCATTTATTATCTTTACGATTTGGATTTCACAATAATGCACTATAAAAATTTTTAATTATATATTCACGATTAAAATTCCACTTTAAAGAGTTTGCAGGTTTTTATAAAAAAAATTCTAGATATGGTCTTCACGGAATAATTTGTAAATGTGGAATGACTATAAAAGTTTTACTATGAAATCAATTTGAATAAACTTGTGATAAAAGTTTCACTGTCTTAGGCCTGTTAATATTTTTTTTTTAAAAATAGACCCTGTGAAAAACTTAAAATCTAAAATGGGGTATTTATTCCAGAGGGAATTTTTTTCTGGAAAATTTATTTCTTTGGGAGTTTTTCTCCCGGTAATTATTTTATAGTGATTTTTTCCAGAGAATTTTTTCCCGGTTTTATTCTCTGCTTACGCTATTTCACTCCCATCTTAGATCAGTTGGTTGAATCAATTAAACCAAAAACTTGCTTAGAGCCGGGCCTTTGATTTTTTAAAAATACCCTACCAGGTCTTTTAAAAAAAATATCCGGGCCGGGCCTTATATTTTAAGATAAAATATTTTAAATCGCCATTATTAGCTATAAGAATGAAAAATAAATAGAATATATTTAAAAATAATCCGGGCTGGGTCTGAAAATATAAAACCCGAGCCAAGTCAAATAAAATTTTGAGCCATGCCATGCAAATGCCTCTGAGATCTCTGATTTAAACAAAATGATTTAAAAATTATTAATAATATCTAAGGCAGTTTTAATAAACATTTCTAAATATAAAATAATAATTTTTAATAAGTAAGGTTTATATATTATACTTGAGGCGCTTGCCTATCTAAAAAATGACAGATCAAATTAATACACACACAACTACAACTTCCCATTGGCCTTTTTCACGGGTACCAAAGGCCTCGCCCACTCTCTGTACTCAACCGGGTCCACTATGCCCTCTTTTACTTAGCGATCTAACTCGCTCTACCTCTTGCCTCCACTCAAAAGGTACTCTACGAACAGCACAATATTTTGGAACGCATCCATCCTTCATCCGTATTTCAACTTCATAATCTCTTAAACAACCCAACTCCTCATTGTAAATTTCATCATACTCCTTTGTCAATCGCTCTACTTCCTTTTGCACACATTTCAATTTCTCCTCCGACTTTTCCGGTCTCCTTCCCTCATTTACTTGTTCTTGCATCTTCTCGCATGGTAATTCTCCATTTCCCACACCTCGAACTTGTGATCTCTTCCTCCTTCCTCATCGTCGATATCCCCTTTTTTATTTTCCCCCACATTTGACTTTCTCCATCGCATTTACACCATTTTTCACTGTAATTCCCTCACTTTCTCCCCAATAAAGAGACTCGCCTTCATTTATCTCGATGTTATCCCTTCCTTCCATCCACTCCGCCGTACCTCTCGGCTCTATTTCCTCCCATTCCTCACTCCGCCATCCATGGGTACAAACATACCCCATCTCGCAAATACTCCCCAAAAATCGTACGGACCAACTCTCTTGATCCAATCCCACCCCAACACTGTTTCTACCCTCCGATCCATTATCCACAAATCCAGCACTTGTAGCTCCCCCGTATATAAATCCCCGATTTTTACTCGGCCCATGACCGTTATTTCCGATCCATCAAACTGCCTTACACAATTTTCTTCTTTGCTTATAACTCGCCTCAGCCATTATTTACGATATTCCTTATATCCCATCACCGATATCGCCGCTCCTGTATCAAACAACATTGATACTACCTTTCCATTCAAATTACACCATACTCTCGGTCAGATATCATAAACAAAACTCCCTTCTCCTTGCCTCAGACAGGGATCATACATAAAACTTCCTTCCCCTTCTCCTTGCAACATGCGTATTTCCCTATCCCTACTCTCATGCTTGCCTCATTTTGTTCCCATCTCCCGGCCTGCATTCTATTTGCCTTGCCATCATACAGTCACATTTTTTAACAATCCCTCTCCCAATGCCCTTCCTTCCGGCATTTAAAACATAGAATTTCACTCTCTTTAACTATCTCCAGAGTCGCTGCACCTCTGCCTTCGTTTTCAATCTCTGCTATTCTCACATTAATGGCGCTCGATACTCCTCCCCTCTGCGGGAACCCTCCTCTCTTATTGACATTTCCAATATTACAATTTTCCTTCCTATTGTCCAAATCTACCACATCCAGCGCATCTCACTCTGTCTTGCTTACTGGGACAAACGTCGAAATGTGACCACTTTGGCCACGCTCAAAACATTTAATGTCCCGACAGTTTATCTCTATGCACCCTTTTACACCACATTAAAAATATACAATATTTCTATTTCTCTGACATTCTGTCTTAAACGACCTTGTCAACTCTCCACGACCTTTATATATTCCTATTCTTCCATCTCCACTTCCTTTTCCATCCTCGCTCCATATCAGATCCTCTACTCGCCCATCCTTGCAACATCTCCTGCACGGGCAACCACATAACCCTATTTACCTATCCTACTCCCCGTTGTGTTCTTCTATCAACAACATTTGCCCTTTTAATATTCCTATTTCGGCGTCCTCTCCTGCCGAAATACAAATTTCCTAGTTAATTTAAAACCCTTCATTTAACTAACAAAAAAATTTTTAATCAAATGATTGAAAAAAAATATCTCTAAATTAATTAATTTATACTAAATATTCTAACAAAAATAAAATATGTAGATGTAGCTCAAAATATTACCTACAAAAAGTTAATAATTAACTTAATTAAAAAAATCTTAACTACTTGAAGAATTAAACAATAGGATACAATTAATAAAATTAATACCGAAATAACACAACAGTACATAACACTTTTTAACTACTTTTAAACTCAACTGTAACCCACTTTACAATTTTTCCCTATCACTGTTAATAACCATACTCCACAGAATTTTCAAACCTCCAAAAAAAATATTACACCCAAAATAAATATTCCACAGAACCCTTGTGACTTTAAGAATATAAAACTCAATACCACAGTTAACTAGTGTTGTTAATAGGCTTAGCCGAGTCGGCTCAAACAGAGCTGACCCAAATTTTGGATCATTTTTTCCGACTCAAAGTTTGGGTCTTTTTTTCGACTTCGACTCAGAGTTTAGGTCGTTTTCGAATCCGACTCAAAGTTTGGGCCGTTTTTTCGACTCAGACTTGAAGTTTGAGTCGTTTTTTCGACTTCAACTTATATGAATATTTTTAAAGCAAATGGTTAAAAATAGATATTGTAAAATGTTAAATTAAAATTTCAGTGAAGATGTACCATAGGAAAGTGACAATTGTCATAATAGATATTTTTGAACTTTTTTGAATTTTTTATTGTAAACATGTTAAATTAAAATTTCAGTTGAAGATGTACTATAGGAAAGTGACAATTGTCATAATCGTAATTTTTGAATATTTTTAAGGCAAATGGGTAAAAATATATTATGTAAACATGTTAAATTAAAATTTCAGTGAAGATGTACCATAGGAAAGTGACGATTGTCATAATCGTCACTTTTGAACTTTTTTGAATTTAGATGTTCCTTGGAAAAATGACAATTATCATAATCTGTATTTTTAAACATATTAGATTTTTTTTGAAGCTAATGGGCAAAAATATTTATTTTTTAATATGGTGTATTAAAATTTCACATAAGATGTACCATCTAAAAGTGACAATTGTTATAAACGTTATTTTTAAACTTTTTTTAATTTTTTTAAGACAAATGGGCAAAAAAATATATTATAAACATGTTAAATTAAAATTACAGTGAAGATATATCATAGGAAAGTGACAATTGTCTATTTTTGAATTTTTTTTAGGCAAATGGGTAAAAATGGATATTGTAAACATGTTAAAAGATTTCAGTGAAGATGGCCCATATAAATGTGACAAATTATCATAATTATTATTATTATTATACTTTTTTAAATTTAATTAAAGCAAATAGATAAAAATATATACTGTAAACATGTTAAATCAATATTTCAGTGATGAAAAACCATGAATTTTTTGGAATATTTTGAAGAAAATGGTTAAAATATAAATTATAAACTAGTTAATTAAAATTTCAATACAAATGTGCCATAGAAAAGTGACAAAAGTCATAATTATTTTTAAACTCTTATTAAATCAAATAGTAGAAATCTTATTTGTAAAACATGTTATATTAATATTTTAATATAGAAGAACCCTAGGAAAAGATTCATGGTGGCAAACTATCTCATAAATACTTATTTATTTTTGGAAAACTGATTTTATTTAAAATTAGTATTTCAAAGCATATTTTTATAAGGGTTTCCGCTATTTTTTCAATAAAGTAGCGTCCTATTAACCACTTTTTACAATACTTCGAATTATTTTTTAAATACCTCTATTTCCACAAATAAAATAAATATGATTAAAATTTTAAATATATATTTTTTTTATTGTATCTTAATAATAATATATAGAGCGTCGATCAGAAAGTATAATCCGAATAAATAAACTTTCTTATTTAATTTAATATAATAAAATTTTTATAGAAAAATCATTAAAAATATTAATTTAAATTTTTTTAAGATTTATAATATAGCGGCTAGAGTATTTTCAGGAGTATATTTTTTTCTAAAAGAATCTTTTATACTAAGTGGTCTTTTAGATCTAGCTTAGGTATCCTGGTTAGATATAGCATTATTTAACGTTATCATTACCATATTAAGTTGTCCTTTGGATTCAGCCTAATTAATATATTGTCAATTCAGCTTGAAACTTGGTTGAACGAACATCCAGATAATAATTTTTGAAATATTATTAGAGATCTCTGATGATAAATTGAGATGTTTATATATTTATTGTAATTTTTAATTTATAATATAATTCAAAATCTTATGGCCAGAGACTGGGCCAGAAAATCAACTATCACATAAACTCATATAGTTTAAAAACTATTATACATACAGTTTTGATTCACATTTTATTTAAAGACTAAGGATTGGACTACATATTAATATTATACTTTAAATATTTTGTCATTGAAGCTACTAGTTGTATTTGATGATAAAACCTACCTGCATAACTTACAATGAAATCTAAATATTAATTTAAAAATTAAATTAAAAGATTACGATTTTAGAATTAATTATAAATTTTAATAATTTGTATGTGTATTTAATTATATAAAATTGAATATAGCGAAGTAATATTGGAAAATAGCTCGTTTGAGCCTATTTTTAAATAAGGTCAAGTCAATAATTTAGCCAAAAATAATAACTAAGCCTCCGATTCCGATAATAGATGTTTAGACCTTAATACCATCTATGAGAAAAATGTTAGCGTAATATTCAAAGTTCAGTTTAAACAAAAAGTGTTAGTATAAAGTGTCGAAAAATAACGCACTTTCCTGGCTACATGGAGTATCTATAAAATTTAGCTTCCTGCGTTTTGGGGATTGTGCAACAAATTGCAACTGTACGGCTTTCATTTCTTTTTAAACAAAAATATTTTTTGAATAATGTGTTTTTTTAAATTTTAACTTTTTTTGATAAAAAAAATACATTATTACCATATAATATAAATTTAATTATTATTTCTCGTTGTCGTTTCCTATCTTTAGAATATATTTATTTATTATTTTTTTTTAAATACTGTATAATAATAACAATTTTTACCGTATATTTATTTATTTTTTTGTAAATTATTTGCTATCTTATTATTTTTTTTTTCAAGCCTTGTTTCTTTTTATTTAAAAAAAATTTTTTTTTAAAATAAGCAGCCAAAAATAAATTATAATTACCAGAGTTGTTAAGGCTCCTTTTTAAAAATAGCTAACTCCCGCTCCTACCTTTTCAAAAGGAGCTAGCTCCCGCTCCAAGTAATGGAGTTCCACTCAATCCTTTCCTTTGATTTTCATTTTTTTTGAAAGTACACAAAACAAAATTATATTTTTTTTATCAAAAAAGTTTTATTTATATTAAATAATATCCAATAAATATGTATATTGATTTTCATAATAAAATCGTTTTAAAAACATTTTATAATATAATTTATATTTAAATTTATCATCAAGGGTGTTTGAAGAATATTTGTCCATGGCGAGACGGCCAAAATTCTTGTATGCAAAATAGGAATTCTTCCTACTATATGTATTTTAGAGTATATTGGTGCAAATAACAAATTTATATAATATATGAACGATTCATTTTTAATTTTATTTGTAGCATCAATATATATATAGATATATAAAAGGACATTATTTTGAAAAATCCCTGATGGACAGAAGTATATTTTTCTGACCACTACCTTGTATCAAAATATTATAATCTTTAATTAGCTTTTAAATAAAAAATTATATTTATTAAAAAAATGATTCCGCAAATAAAAATTCCTTAAGGAAGTGATGGATATTTAATGTTCTAAAATTAGAAAAGAAATTTTATTTTATTTGGCAGCAGATTTGTTGAGAATTTTTAATTTTTAATTTTTGTTTTTATATAGTTATACATAATGCTGTAAACGTTATTACAAAAAAGCAACGCATTACCTTTACTCGTTACCTTTTTAAAAAAGGAACGCGAGTTACCGACTTTTCAAAAAAGTAACGGGCTGCTCGTTACTTAAAAAAATTAAATATATACAAAAATGTTATTTATTTTTTCCGATAATATATAATAAAAAACTATATAAAAAGAACATACGAAAGGCTAAAAAATAATCATTATAATATATCTTATCTAGCACGTTGGTCATAGACCTGCCCAAAATGAGCGAACCTGAATTTTATGAAGGCCCACCCTTCATAAAATTATGCCGATTTTTTTCTCAAGGATACCAACAAACCTTGTACCCAGTTGTAGTTTACTAAATGAGTGGAACTTACCCTTTCCGATATTGTAATTGTAATTTATAAATTAGTAAAATAAAGACATATACAGTGAAACGATACACATGTTTAAATATACTATAAAAGGGGGTAAACAAAATAAGATTTTATTTTAAATAGAATAAAGATTGAAATTAAATATGGACAAGCAATTAATTAAGAAGATTAATATAGATGATTAATCATTATAAAAAGAAATGTGTTACATATATATAATTTGTGATTGAAAAATGAATTTTTTTTTTTATTTTCTTTGAGAATGCTCAAGTAAGATATTTGATTAAATTTCATTTAAAATTCTAAATCATTTTTTGTAAAAAGTCTTTTTAATATTTGAAAATATTTTAGAATTTCTTAAATGTAATCTATTTTGTATATCCATTTATTTCGATATATATGATAACACTATAAACTTTTATAATAATTTCGATAAAATAATTAATACATAAAAAATATAATTATAATTTATCAAAATATTCCATTGTTCCACGAATTTGATGTTGGTACCTAGTGTTGTTAATCGACTGAGTCGAAAATTGAGTCAAGTTTTGGGTCAAAAAAATCGACCCAAACTGACTTGAGTTATAAACTCAGGTCATGAACTCAAGTCGACTCGAGTCATGAACTTAAGTCGACTCGAGTCATGAACTTAAGTCGACTCGAGTCATGAACTCAAGTCATGAACTCAAGTCATCAACTCAAGTTCATAAAATATTCGTCCTCTAGTCGATGTCGACTAGAGGACGAATATTTTATAAACTTGAGTCGTCGACTAGAGGACGAATATTTCAGATCTATTATTTATTATTAATTAAGATAGTTTTGTATTTTACTATTTTCGACTTCCAACTTGAGTCGTGACTCGTGAATATAATTATATAGTTGAGTCGACTAGAGGACGAATATTTCTATGAACTTGAGTCGTCGACTAGAGGACGAATATTTCAAATTTGGTATTATTAATTAAGATATTTTTTGTATTTTACATTTCCTACTTTAGACCTTTATGACTCGTTAAGTTATTATAAATTGTTGGCTAGAGGACCAATAGTTCTATGAACTTGAGTCGACTAGAGGACGAATATTTGAAATTAGTTATTATTATTTAAGATATTTGTTGTTATTTACTTTTTACTTTAGACCTCCAACTTGAGTTGTGAATACAAAATATATAGTTGTCGACTAGAAGACGAATAGTTCTCTGAACTTGAGTCGTCAATTTAAGTCGACTAGAGGATGAATATTTCAAATTAATCATTATTTATTTAAAATATTTGTTCTGTTTTTTTACATTTTTTTATTTTAGACTTCTAATTTGAATTGTGAAAATTGAAAAGAATTATATAAATGAGTCGACTAGAGGATGAATATTTCTATTAACTTAAGCCGTCTACTTGAGTCGACTAGAGGACGAATATTTGAAATTTGGTATTATTAAGATATTTTTTGTATTTACATTTCCTACTTTAGACCTTCATGACTCGTTAAGTTATTATAAATTTTATAGTTGTGTCGACTAGAGGACCAATAGTTCTATGAACTTGAGTCGACTAGAGGACGAATATTTCAAATTAGTTATTATTATTTAAGATATTTTTTGTTTTTACATTTTTTACTTTAGACTTTCATGAGTCGTTAATATAAATTATATAGTTGTGTCGACTAGAGGATCAATAGTTCTATGAACTTGAGTCGACTAGAGGACGAATATTTGAAATTTGGTATTATTAATTAAGATATTTTTTGTTTTTTACATTTTTTACTTTAGACTTTCATGAGTCGTTAATATAAATTATATAGTTGTGTCGACTAATCAATAGTTCTATGAACTTGAGTCAACTAGAGGACGAATATTTCAAAATAGATATTATTATTTAAGCTATTTGTTCTGTTATTTACATTTTACTTAAGACTTTCAACCTGTGTCGTGAATACAAAATATATAGTTGTCGACTAGAGGACGAATAGTTCTTTGAACTGAGTCGTCAGTTTGAGTCGACTAGAGGATGAACTTCTAATTAATTATTATTTAAGATATTTGTTCTGTTATTTACATTTTTTTACTTTAGACATCCAACTTGATTTAGGAATACAAATTATATAGTTGAGTCGACTAGAGGACGAATTTTTTAATGAACTAGAATCGTCAATTTAAGTTGACTAGAGGACGAATATTTCAAATTAATTATTATTATTTAAGATATTTGTTCTGTTATTTATATTTTATTCCTTAAGACTTCCAACTTGAATCGTGAATACCAATTATTTACATAATTATCTTATTCTCATTTTATTTTATCAAATAAATTCTTATTAACATTTTTTGATTGAATACTCAAAAAAATTCATATTTACATTTTTTTGATTGAATAATAATCTGAAATAATAAAATATTTTGAAATTATATCTCAACCGTATTTTGAATTTTATATAAGACAGACGTGTGATAATAATCAAACTATGAGATGACGGGTGAATCTTCTTTAGCACTCCTCCTCATCTGTATTTAATTTATTTTTAGTATTTCTAGTCCTTCTTTTAGTTAATTGTTTTTTTTTATTTCAAATTAATTATTATTTAAGATTCATATACTTCATTATCTTATTCCTCTATTTATTTGATCAAAAACATTTTTTGATTGAATACTCAATTAAATCCTTATTTACATTTTTTGAATGAATACTATATTCTCAAAAAATATTTAGCAGGTATCTGAATATTTTGATTATATCTCACCATTATTTAAATTTTATATAAGAAAACCATACGTGTGATAATAATCAAAATTACGAGATGACGGGTGAATTTTCTTTAGAACTCTTCCTTAGCTGTATTTAATATATATTTAGTATTTTTATAGTCCCTCTTTAGTCATTCTTTTAGATAATTATTTTATTTTATATGGTTAATAGCTTTTAAAATATTTAAAAAATCACCTCTTTAGTAAAGAATTATCTTATCTTAATTTAATCTAACAACAATTACATAATTTACTTTATTTTTCTGTTTCTAAATAAGATATAATAATATAAATATAACATAAGAAAAAATATTATATGGTATAACATAAGAAAAAATATTATATGGTATAACATAAGGAAAAAAATATAGATATTATTGCCATATATCGATATCCCAGTTATTCAAGGATAAACAATGCTTTAAGGTGGATGGTGACATCCTATTTCTTTTTTTGGTCAGGAAATCCACTGTCTTGCTAAAGGCTCTCTCACTCGGCACACTTGATGATTGCTGGGCAAGAAAATCTTTTGCAATCAGCGACAATGTAGGATAGATAAGGCTATTTTTTTCCCACCAATCTAGTATATTCGTTGTAGGGGACGCTACTTTATCATCGAGATAATCCTTGATCTCATCTTTTATAAGATCAGGGAATTCATATGCCTCCCTAAAAATTATAATATAATATATTTTAATTACTTTCTCAATTCGTGATGCATGCAAACAGAATGCGGCTATCATCAGGCATTAGGTTAATGTCGTCCACGTCCTCATTTTTGTCATAGTTACTAACATTTTCTGAGTCATTCACAGAGTCGAATAAGAAATTAATATACGCCGCAGTCATATAAAAAATAAATCTTCAAGCTATCAATACAAAATATGGAATTTTAAAATACCTTTAATTTTATTTTATAAGTTAGAATTTTAATAAAATAAATATTTAAAATTTAATTATTATTGTTTATTTTTTTTATATCAGTATTTATTCGAATAAGAAATTAAAATTAAAATATGCCGCAGTCATATAAATAATAAATCTAAAACAAAATATTAATACAAAATATGGTATTTTAAAATACTTTTAATTTTATTTTATATCTTAGAATTTTATTAAATTAATTATTAGATTAAATATATTTAATTAAAAAGATTCAATACCATACTGTATGGTATTGTATAATTTATATACAACACATGTATGCATTTTTGTTTTTTTTATATTTAAATTTTTTTTAAAAAAATGTCATAAAATTGACTCAACTTCAACACATGAGGATCGATTGAATCAATAAAAACACATAATGCCATCCCAGATAAAAGTTTTAAAATAAAATATATTTTCAATCTAATCTAGTAAATAATCATAATAGAATTTTTTTTTCTTATTTTTTATATTTATAAATTTAAATATAATAAATCTCCTATTTTTTGAGTTTTAAAATAATTTCCGGTATTAGAAAAAGACGATTCAAAACAACAGACCGGTCATGACACCTTCATTAAATGTGTCAGTATGTCTAGATTTAATAGTATCGCTATGTCCTATCATAGTTCAGAATTAACTACGAACTTTCTGGCCAGATTTGTTTAATTTTATCGCTATTTTTTAAACACGTATATTTATTTTTTTCTTCTAATTTTATATATGTATCTTGGACAAGTAGATTTGATATTATTAAAATATTTTAATAGTTATTAACCATTAATGACTAAATAAAATAATTACCTAAAAGAGGGACTATAAATATACTTAATATATATTAAATACAGATGAGGAGGAATGCTAAAGAAGATTCACCCGTCATCTCATAGTTTTGATTATTATCACATGTCTGTCTTATATAAAATTCAAAATATGGTTGAGATATAATTTCAAAATATTCAGATACCTGCAAAATATTTTATTATTTGAGAATATTATTCAATCAAAAAAATGTAAATAAGAATTTTTTTGAGTATTCAATCAAAAAATGTTAATAAGAATTTATTTGATCAAGTAAAATGAGGAATAAGTTAATGAAGTAAATAATTGGTATTCATAATTCAAGTTGGAAGTCTTAAGTAATAAAATGTAAATAACAGATCAAATATCTTAATAATTAATTTAAAATATTCGTCCTCTAGTCGACACAAATTGACGACTAAAGTTGAAATTTTTAAGTACAAAAATGTAATTAATAGAATCTTAAATAATAACAATTAATTTGAACTATTCGTCCTCTAATCTACTCAACTATATATGTATTCACGACTCAACTGGAAGTCTAAAGTAAAAAATGTAAAAACAAAAAATATCTTAATTAATAATAAAAATATTCGTCCTCTAGTCGACTCATGTTTATAGAACTTTTCTTCCTCTTGTCGACTCAACTTCAAATATATAATTCTTATTCACGTCAAGACTCAAGTTGGAAGTCTAAAGTAAAAAAATATAAAAAACAAAAAATATTTTTATAATAACTAATTTGGAATATTCATCATATAGTCGACTCATTTATATAATTCTTTTCAGTTTTCACAATTCAAATTAGAAGTCTAAAGTAAAAAAATGTAAAAAGCAGAAAAAATATTTAATAAATAATAATTAATTTTAAATATTCGTCCTCTAATCGACTTAAATTGACGACTCAAGTTCAGAGAACTATTCGTCCTCTAGTCAATAACTATATATTTTGTATTGACAACTCAAGTTGGAAGTCTAAAGTAAAAAGTAAATAACAACAAATATCTTAAATAATAATAACTAATTTGAAATATTCGTCCTCTAGTCGACTCAAGTTCATAGAACTATTGGTCCTCTAGTCGACTCAATTATTTAATTATATTTACGAGTCACGACTCAAGTTGGAAGTCGAAAGTAGTAAAATACAAAAACTATCTTAATTAATAATAATTTATCTGAAATATTCGTCCTCTAGTCGACTCAAGTTCATAAAATATTCGTCCTCTAGTCGACTCAAATTCACGACTTGAGTTCACCGACTCGAGTCGACTTGAGTTGACGACTCAAGTTCATAAAATATTCGTCCTCTAGTCGACTAGAGGACGAATATTTTAAAAACTTAAGTTCACGACTTGGGTCGACTTGAGTTCACGACTTGAGTTTGAGTTAGTCGACATATTCGACTAACGACTCGAGACTCTGAGTCGGAGTCGGGTGAACTCGACTTTTTAACAACACTATTGGTACCTTTTTAGAAATTAAAAGAGTTAATATTATAATTATTAATACAAATCGATTATAAAGATTACCTAATTAATCAGTTGCCCGCGATAACCCAACTCCAAATAGCTTTGCATGTGATTGTAAAAGTTAGTGAAATCATAAGGAATAAATCCGTGTAAGAGTTGAATAATATTCCTAACAATTTCATCTCTTAAATTAGGGCGAGAATTATTTTTCAAAACTTCAAAAAAATTTTCAATGGGATTTAACTGAGGTGAATAAGGTGGTAGGTATTCAATCCTACCTTTATAAGAATCGATAAGATGGCTTCTATGGATAGATGCATTATCCATTACAATGATTGCATCTGGTGGTAGGATACTAATAAGCTCAGTCATAGAATCACGGAATAATAGCCCATTATAAGCTCCGTCTATTATTTTATAATGAATTACCCCTCCAATTCCGATTGTACAAAGGATACTTACATTTTTACCCTTAGAGGATGGGATTTTTATTATTGGACGGACATTGTATGGCGCGCAGGCGTAGATTGGTACAACATGCAAGTTTATTCCAGTCTCATCTAAGAAATATAAAATTTCTCTTGGGATATTTAAGATCTTTGCACAATAAATTTGACGAATATTAATAGCCCCGCGAGTATTTCTTCTATCAGGCTCCTTGCCAGCCCTTTTTTTAGACCAACCAATATTTTTAATATATTTACTAATTGTGGTTTTTGTTTTTGGACTACCAGGAGGTAACTTTTCTATTATCTCCTGAATAGTCAAAGTGTTATTATCCATTAATAGGCTTATGATACTTCTTTCAATAATGGAAGAATCTTTCTTTTTACTTCCTCTTTTTTTGAATATTATATTCCTTTAAAGTATCTCCATTTATTTCTGGGAATGTATCCCGTCTAAATTTGTGAACAGATGCAGTAGACATTTCGACATATTTTGCGATGTCTTTTATTTTCATTTGTTGTTTTTCCGGCATTATAACATTTTGGTAACTATATCTAATTTTTCTTTATTCCAATATTTGTGTATTCTTTTTGGTCTTTGAATTCTCGACGAAGATTGGGAGTTTTCATTTAAATTGGAAAAATTAGTATTACTATTGTATAATAAAGATTCTATATTAAACTTTTTTTTTTATTATTTAAGAAAATTTAAAAATAATTAATATGTAAGTATTTTAATTTTTTATTTTGAATTAAATTTTAACACATTTTTTTTATAATGATTAATCAACTATATTAATCTTCTTAATTAATTGCTTGTCCATATTTAATTTCAATCCTTATTCTATTAAAAATAAAATCTTATTTTGTTTACCCCCTTTTATAGTATATTTAAACATGTGTATCGTTTCACTATATTTCTTATTTGTTTTTTAATCTTGAATAGTTATATTCATGATAAGGAATGAGTTAAGAATATTTGAATCCATAGACATCAAAATTCCATTTCATTTGTTAGGTTATATTCTTCCAAAAGATGAACCGGAAATATCTTCGCCATTTGGGAGGGATAGATCATAATTTATAAAAATTCTTTGAATAATTTTTTAAAAATATGAAAATTAGATTTTTTCAATTTTTTTTAATAATTCTTTGAAATAATCTGCATTTATATTTTTAATTAAATTAATATTTGGTTATGATTTTATATATTAAGTAAGTATAAATATATTGTAATTACTTGATAAAGAAGTAAATGAGAAACATGAATTTTTTAAGGTATTTTTAATTTGAGAAAGCATTTAAGAGGGAAAAGGCTAACATCTTAAACGTAATTTTGAATATAATTATATCATTGTACTCAGAATTTAATTCTCTATCCAAAACCGCTTAGATGTATTTTTTTACGTTTCCGGTTCACAAAATAATTTTTATGTCGCGAAAGACTTTTATAGGGGAAAGGCTAACATCTTAAACGTAATTTTGAATTTAATTATATCATTGAATTCAGAATATAATTCTCTATCCAAAACCGCTTAGATGTATTTTTTTACGTTTACGGTTCACAAAATAAATTTTTTGTCGCGAAAGACTTTTATAGGGGAAAGGCTAACATCTTAAACATAATTTTGAATATAATTATATCATTGAACTCAGAATTTAATTTTCTACCCAAAACCGCTTAGATGTATTTTTTTACGTTTCCGGTTCACAAAATAAATTTTATGTCGCGAAAGCATTTTAACGGGGAAAGGCTAACATTTTAAACGTAATTTTGAATATAATTATATCATTGAACTCAGAATTTAATTCTCTATCCATAACCGCTTAGATGTATTTTTTTACGTTTCCGGTTCACGAAATATTTGTATTTATAATCTATGGAACATTAATACTGACAATGTAATATCAGCAAAACATAATAATTCATTCATTTTAAGACATTTGGGAAATATAAGTTATAATATACATTATTCGGAGTCTGATTAATGAGAATTAGGAAATAATGATTTTACATATAATAATGTAATATAAACAAATGGTTTATGTGTGAAATGCAATTTTAACAACATGTAATCTTCCTTCGGTCATGCGAAAAAAAAAATCAAAGCTACATTTTTTATAAATATCTCCTATAAATACAAAATTTCTAGATTTCCATTTATTTCTAAATAAAGTTATGGTATTGCTCAAAAAAAAATCTTTATTTGGAACTTTCCTTAATCATATGATATGACCAAAAATAAAGAAAGGAAGCAAATTTGATTATATATTTTATTAATTTAGTAATAATTAAATAAATTTTATAATAAAACATCAGATATTAAAAAAAAATTTGATATTAAAGTTTGTGCATTTTTTTAAAAGTAAAAATAATAAAATTGGCATTATTATTTTAAAATAATTAAAACTTTGGGTGTTCCTTTCTATTTTTATAAAAAAAACTTTTAAAATACTATAAATCTATTTTAAAAAAGAATAAAATTTAGAGGGTGTTGTGCATTTATATTGTTTAAAAAAATTATTTAGAAAATATTATAATGTAAAATAAATATACATAACATAAAATAATAAAAAAAAGAAAAGTAAAAAGACTGGATCTTTTTACAGGTATGGGCCCGATATTTTTGGAAAACGCTAAATATCGGGGCCGATCCGATCCTATTTAATATCGGTACAGCCCTTCTTATATTTTAATTCCATGATTAAGCTTTTCAAAATATTCTGAAAGAATATTCTATTATTAAAGTAAAATTCATTTTTTTACCATGAAATGTTTTTTTAAGTTTGAACTGATGGACATTTAAGGTGAAATATTTGTGTTGGGATAATATAATTTACATTTACAAAGTGTAGATTTGGTACCATTAAATCTCTTTATTGGTTTAAAATATATTTCAAATTGGGACTAGAGAAGGGTTAAATCATTTTCATCTGAAGAAGTACTATGGACATAATATTCTTAAAATAAATTATAAGAATAATAATATCATAACATTTACTTTGAATTTTGATTGAATATTAATTTCGACAGAAAATTTAACAACGTGAATTTAAAATAAAAATGAAAGAAGCGGTTGACATGAATTAAAACTCGGCTTAAATTATTTATATTAGGAATTAATAAATAAATAAAAATAATTTTATAATACAAAAAAATATGCTTTTCTTTTTTTGATATTTTTTAAGAAAAAATATAAAGTAACGTTTTGCGTTACCGTTACTCAAAAAAAGAAACGCGTTACCGTTACTCGTTACCTCAAGAAGGTAACGAATGACGTTCTAACGACGTTACTTTTTTGACGTTATTTCACAGCACAAGTTATACATTAAACTAAATTTTCATAAATTATTTATTATGCCACTAATATTTATTGTTTATTAATATTTAGAAAAATGTTAAATATTCGAGGTTTTTTAGGATTTTAGGTTTAATATTAATTTCCACATTAACCACTTTAAAAAAAATAAATTACCATAAGTTGGTCTATATTTATTTCGCTCCTCTCGGCATTTTAAACTTTTTAGGCTAGAATTGGATATATAAAAATTAGATTAAAAAAATTAATTTTTTCTGATGGTACAGCTTTCAATTTTGCGCTATTTGCATATAACGATTTAATTTTTACTTCTTTTGGCGTATCCTATTATCTTATTTACTCCCTTTTTAATTTTTTACTATTTTAAACATAATTAAAATATATTCAATTTTAAAATAGGTAATATAAATCAGAATCTTATTTTTTCTGTATTTTTTTTTTTGGAAATTAGTGAACCCCTACCAGGGGACGAACGAGCTTTTGCTCGGGGCTATTATAAGCTCTGCTTAATTTTCCAAATATTTAATAATATAAAGCATAAAAGTAATGTATAAAATCAAAATCATTTATAAACAAAAAAATGGGAACATTATTCACAATCTTTGCAAATAAAAAAAGTATTAAAATTGCTACATCTTCCATATGACCAATAACTATATTTACGACATTGAAACCAGTCTTGATTGTTATGATGCTTGTAGTAATTTTTTTTTCACACTAAACAAATGTTTTTCTTATTAATAACATTTTTTGATTTTTTCTTTTATTTGCTCTCTCCACGACCTTTTTTTCCATGTTAAAATTTAAAAAAATAGGGAAAAATGCTCATTCTAAATCTCATAAAAATAGCCCCAATGCCACCACTTTGGTTAAGATCATATTTTGAAGTATTTAGAATATCAATTTTGTTCGTGTAAATTGATATTTTATAAAATATATTTTCTTTTATATAAGATGATTTTTGGGTGGTAAAAATGTATATTTTATCTTTATTTTTGAAAAATAGTTAAGATTTAAAAAGTTACTTTTGCAGGTACGAATCATATAATGCATTATTAAAATTCTTCAAGCTGTCCGATAGAAATAAAAATTATAGCCGTATATGCATTATACAATTATATAGTTTTGTAAAAAAAATTATCCCTTATACTCTAGAAAATAAAGCCGCGCGCGTCTCGCTATAATCCCGGGTTCATTATATCCCCGATCTCCCTTAATATTTTATATTTAGTTTTAATTTCTACTTTGTAGTAGAGTTACTTTATTTATATTATATATAAAAGAAAATAATTTGATCAAACGAGACAAAATATTTTAAATAATGTTTATTATTAAAATAACATCTTTATTTAGGCTGCGTCCAAAATGTTTTGAAAAAATCCTTAAAATTTAAAATTTTCCTAAATTAATAGCAAAGCACTTTGGACACATTTTAGTTTTAGAAAAATTAAAATTAAAATATTCAAAATGCTTGATATGATAATTATTAGTTATTTATTAAAAGATTGGGGTTGTATTGTAAGGGTTGTGCATTTGACCGGTCAAATACGTTTCGGTTAATTGACCAATATATGACAGGCCATATGGTCAAATTCAAATATATGTTTTTTAAAGTCAATATTAACTTTATTTTGAATATAATAGTAAAATGAATCTATAATATTAATTTGTCATCCAATAACTAACATTTAGCTCTCCGTAGCAGAGTCTTGTTCTGATTCATATTTAATATTATCACTTTCTTTAATATTTTTTAATTAATTTTTCTGATGTCGAGATCTTCAATCGATTTCAATTTTCATAAGAATTTTAACCCAAATCAACATATATCTTTTTAAAAAGAAGTAGAAATAGGAATTCTTGGTCTCTTAATGGGCATGGTGGGCAAAGTTTAATCTATTAACTTGAGGTCGGAATTGTTTGTTTCTTATGGACATTATTGCATTCCACATAATTTGCACATGCTGTTTTTGCTTATGAAATTAATTATATCACTAAAAATATGGTCATCACCACCTTGTAAAATGGCTAATTTTTGAATTAAATCCATACTTCATTAAATTCACTACTAGTGAGATGTTTAATATTGGGGATCCAAAAAATAAGCAACATTGTGATCACATGTATTTATATCTTTTTCTCTTTTTTAAACCTATCTTTAATGATCCTTTAGATTTTTTTTAGAGTATTTGACCAGGTCACATACTCCTCCGTTCAATGACCGACTTGCAAACCCTGTGTATTGTTAAATGACTCGATAAAATTTCAAATATGGTTTTAGCTTAATTATTTTTTTTGACTTATTTTTATCTATTTATTAGCTTCAATTAAATTCAAAAAAGTATAATAATAATGATTATGACAATTTGTCTCATTTATATGGGGCATCTTCACTGAAATTTTAATTTAACATGTTTACAATATCTATTTTTACCCATTTCCCTAAAAAAGTTCAAAAATAACGATTATGATAATTGTCACTTTCCTATGGTACATCTTTACTGAAATTTTAATTTAACATGTTTACGAAATATATTTTTACCCATTTGCCTTAAAAAAATTGAAAAAAGTTCAATAATGACGATTATGAAAATTGTCACCTTCCTAGTGTACATCTTTATTGGAATTTTAATTTAACATATTTTCATAATATATTTTTACCCATTTGCCTTAAAAAAGTTCTAAAATGACGATTATGATAATTGTCACTTTCCTATGGTACATCTTCACTGAAATTTTATTTAACATGTATAAAATATATATTTTTACCCATTTGCCTTAAAAAAATTGAAAAAGTTCAAAAATAACGATTATGATAATTGTCACTTTCCTATGGTACATCTTCACTGAAATTTTAATTTAACATATTTGCAAAATATATTTTTACCCATTTGGTTAAAAAAAATTAAAAAAAGTTCAAAAATGACAATTATAACAATTGTCACTTTCCTATGGTACATCTTCACTGAAATTTTAATTTAACATGTGTACAAATTATATTTTTACCCATTTGCCTTAAAAAAATTGGAAAAAGTTCAAAAATGACGATTATGATAATTATCACTTTCCTAATTCTATGATACATCTTCACTGAGATTTTTATTTAACATGTTTACAATATATATTAAAAAGTTCAAAAATAACGATGATGACAATTGTCACTTTCCTATGGTACATCTTCACTGAAATTTTAATTTAACATGTTTACAATATATGCCTTAAAAAAATTCAAAATAAATGATTATGACAATTGTCACTTTTCTATTACATCTTCACTGAAATTTTAATTTAACATTTTACAATAACTATTTTAACCATTTACATTAAAAAAACTCAAATAAGTTGGAGTCGTAACCCGGTGTTTGAATGTGAGTCGAAAAAACGACCAAAACTTTGAGTTGGAGTCGAAAAAAATGACCCAAACTTCAAGTCTTAGTTGAAAAAAACGACCCAAACTTTGAGTCGGAATCGAAAAAACGACCCATATTTTGGGTCGAAGTCTTTTTTCGGCTTGGATACGGGTCGGATTGGCTAAACTCAAGTCGAGGTCGAAAAAAACGACCCAAACATTGAGTCGGGGTCGAAAAAACGACCCGACCTTTGGGTCGAGGTCGCGACTCACGGTGTTTTAACAACACTACAGTTAACCCACTGTGCCCTTAGTTTTTCCTTTTTTATTTTTTTTACCTAAAAAAATATAAAAATAAAACTTACTTTTTTTAGGTCACGGCACCAACTATTGCAGTTGTGCCGTTGAGAATAAATCCGAGACCGTCATGAATAATTTAACTTTTTTAATTCAAAATAAAAAACTAATTCTCTTAAAATCTGCCGAAAACGGCTATTTTATAGATGAAAATACGATAAATAAAAAAATAATTATAAATCCTAATAACATGACTCATTTTGAGCTTACAATCCAAAAACAAATCAATGCGCTAAGGTTATCAAACCGGATTATTGAGCGTGATAAAAATACATATAACGAATTTACAAAAAAACATAATATATACCAATACAATACTTAAAAAAAAACTTCAATTGTGACAGAAACAATACTTTTTCACAAAGATATATAATGAATGGAACCTTACCGAATGGTTAAAAGTTGTTTTTGGCGACGCATTCGTTTAAGATTATTCATACTTTCTTTCTGATTAATAAATATTTAATTATATCTAGAAATGCAGTTTTAAAATTTCATGATTAATCATGTTAATAAAATATTTTATTAGTGATTATGCTATACATAACCATTCGTCTTTTTTATTAGTGAAAATGCTATACATAACCATTCGTCTTCTAGGGGAAAAACATATTAAAGAAAGAGATAGGTAAATGGGTTAGGAATATATTTAATATTAAAGGTGATTTAAATAGAGCAAGGATGGTTCAGATTCAACATTAAAAATGTAAATTTCATATTATAAAGAAAATTATTCATGAATGATCCTTTTTTGGAGTTTAGGTGATGAAGGAAATGGTTGATTTAAATTTATTGTTCACACTCCTTGAAAGAGGAAAAAACAAGATTCATAAGTTAAACAATATTTAAAAGATTAATAACTAGTTACCATTTTGTATTGAGATCAAGTGATGAAAAGGAGTAATTACAATGTTAAATTCAAAAATAATTTTTTAATTATTTAGTGCTAATCGCCATTTCAAAAATCATCACTTCGTACTTATCCGATAAAAATAGAGTTGTTAACAAAAATTAGATTCAAAAATTTTCTCATTTATCCGATAATTCGCAATTTAGCATTTAAAAATATATTTTATCATTTTGTCAAACAAAATAGCGATTTTTTCGCATTTAAAGGTATTTGCACTTAAGCGATTGCAATTAAACGGTTTTGACTGCATTGCAATAAAATTTTTAAAAAAGCTAATAAATAAAATATGAATAGTAAATTTTATTTACATTCAAAATTGAGGTACTATAATGCACTTTAATCATAATATATATTTTCAAATGATATAGATGTTTATGTCGTTTGTAATGATAATGGTCAACAAATGGCACTCAAAATACATAGATTAGGTAGAAATTCTTTCCGAAAGTTGAGAGAGAAAAGAGATTATTTAAAACAACGCAACGGTTTTTCTTGGCTTTATCTTTCAAGGTTAGCTGCAACTAAGGAATTTGCTTTTCTGAAGGTTTTATTAAATATGTAAATATGTTTTTATCAGTGAGTTAAATATAATTTATATTCTAATTATCAATTTAATTATTTTATAAATACTAATTTAGTCATTAACTAAAAAAAATAATTGTTTAAATAAATATTGCAACATCGCCAAGTTTACTAAATAGATTATGTTGGGTCATTCCATGACAAATCAACCATGATTCGGCCGACCCCTTCGATTTTTTTTAAAAATTTGGTAAACAAAGAAAGAGTAGTGTAGTTAAGAAATAGCCAAAATTTTAGCCTCGTATCATTTATATTTTTGGAAATATTAGGGTTCAAAGTGGCAAAAATGACGTATTTTTACCATTATCTTCCTTCATTCAATTAAGCATATCTTAAAAACTACATAACTGTAAATAACAAATTTAATATCAAAATTACGTACAAAGATTCTACTTTTAGATAAAAAAATTTTTAATTTTTTTTCCAATTTCCGGTCATTTTATTTAATATATAAGGACTAAAAACAATTTTTTGGAAATAATACGACCTTCAATTTTTAAAAAAAATTTAGTAGACATTATTAAACTCTTCCTTTATATTTATATAAAAAAATTAATCTGGGACGCGGCCATCTTCATTCTCAAAATCGATAAAAATGTTTAGAAAAGTGTATAAATATTGTCCCGAATGGGGGCGTCTTTGTATAAAATTATATTAATCAGTTTTTAATGGTTTTTCTTGGACTATTTGATATAATTTAAAGGATTATTCATCTTGTAAGTGAAAATAACAATAAATGGGGCTTTCATTCAATTATAGAAATTGTCTATCGATAAAAGAAATTCAATTTATTACTTTATTTATAATTTATTATAAAATTTTTTGCGCATATAACATATATTTAATGAATATTAATAAAATATGTTAAATTAAGTTTCGAGTTCTTGAATATATGAATCAGAATCTTGTGCATTTCATATATGGCGCCCTAAATATTAAAAAAATTGATATAATTTAAATTTAAAAATCTAATAAATAACTCACTTTTAAAAGATTCTAATTTTTTGGTAGCGCATTTACTTTCTTGTGACAACAATGTATAACTACGGCCAGTAGCAGTTAACAGTGAACTAATGTTAAGATATGACATTTGGGCAAGTAAAGAGTGTCGTCTATACTTGGAAATGTAAAGGAATTAGAAGGTCCGGATGGGTTAAAAACTTGATATATATTTCTTCCTGCTTTTAATTTTTCACTAAAACAAAGCTAACCACCAATTAGAATCATAAGAATACGTTAGGTATCCTGATATTTCTTCAATAATTATACTTTCATCATTATATGATAACTATTCTATAGTACTTTCTATTGAATTGGAATACATTTTACTTTTAAATTGATGTAGATCTGTTTAAATCAAAGTGTGTATTTTGTGTGTTTCCAGGTATAGATCTAGTTTTTGAAAATCTTTCCCTGAGTAATAGATTTTCGTAATCATAATTTATTTTGGTCATTTATTCAAAATATATTACATTAATATTTTCTTTATTTAACTCATACAATTCATATGATGTGGTTATTTACTTTGAGTAAGGCCTTGTAAACTAGCTCTAGCGGCTAATTTTTTAACAGTGCCACCAATCCCATCACAAACACTTTTCCCGAATATCAGAAAAATGCCATTTCGCCTGTACCCCGAAATCCATCTCATGATGGCAAATATTAATAAAATTTTTACGATTTTTATCATCGGAAAAATAAAAAATTTTATTTGGCCTCTAAATTTTATTAATTAAAAAATTTACCAATGTTTTTTGAAATTATGTACTGCTATTGTATTGTGTTGCAAAGATTCGGATATCATTACATAATTTAGGCAACAAATATTGGTAAAATTATCTTTATAATATATAACAAAAGGGTGAGCAGTGGATTGAGCCCTATTTCAATGATAATTTTGTACTTCATCCTGAAGTATAAAGCTATAGTTTTCTTAAAAATCACATAAAATTAAATATTGGTCTTCGTCTAATTTCAATTTTAGATTGTTTTGATACAACGATTGTTGCGTTGAAATAAAAAAATGGAGTAATAAAGATTCCATTTTTTCAAAAAGGCATTGATAAATTCACCTACTGGTTTGGTTATTGTTTCAAGAGTGGTTCTATCTACGGATAGCCATTGTTTGTATGTTATAAATTCGATGTCCTTAGAACGAAACAATATTTCTATTTGATCGCGTAAATGTGTTGACCCTGGACAATTATCACATTTGCCCATATAAACTGGATGGTTGAGGTGAATTACAAATTATTAAGTGTAAAATATGTTTGTATGTTTGAAAGGGCAACATATCATTGGGTAAATTTGATCCAATGATCATTAATTTAAAATTTTGGTGCTAGCTGCAATCACATACATGTGTACCACTACCTCCAACGAGTATACAATTTTTGAGCGAATGCTTGCAAATTTCGAAAAACCAATTTTAACATCCAGGCATCATTTCTTTAAAAAATATATGAATTTCTTTCAAATTATCTAAAATTAATCTCTTATGTATGGTATTCTCAGGGTTGGGCAAATTTTCAGAACATTGTATTCGGATACAGATACAGATACTTTATAAAATTTTGTATTTAAGATACAAGATACTAGATACTTTAGAAAAATTTCAATAAGATATATCTTTTTTTTAAAAAAAGTATCTAAGATACAAGATACTTTTTTAAAATACTTTAAATAGTCAAAATAAAAATGTATAAAGCTTTATTTTCATATCTATAATATAAATTTATGAAAAAATATTTAAAATAAATTGTAGATAATAACAAATTTATTATAAAAGATAATGCGATATTCCATTTAATAATTATATAATTAGTAAATAATAATAAATCAGCATCATATATCAGCATTATTTTTTAATATTATTAATTTTTCAAATGATTTATCGTTTAATCTTTGACGATTTGGTCTATTAACCTGTTGCGTTATTCTAATTTCTTAATCTTATTATATATTTTTATAATCTAATTTTTTGTTATTTGTTATAATCTAATTTTATTTTATAAACGGCGTAACCTTACTTTTTTATATATTATTTTTTTTGTATTTCGTTTTATATTCTAATTTATATTTTAGAAAAGGTATAAATACCTTAAGAAAAGAAAAAGAAATGAGTTAATAAAATATATTTTTACTGACTCGAACCTCGCACCATATCGTCACCACCCATATTCTTTGCATGGTGCCCTTTGGGTGGTGGACTAGAAAAAGATGACTACCTAATCTGCTGAGATGACCATCTAATCTATGACGATTGCTTAATCCATTGAGATGACTCTATTTATATGACTACCTATTGTGATGATTGCTTAATCCATTGAGATGACTCTATTTAGACTACCTATTGTGACGATTGTTTAATCCATTGAGATGACTCTATTTATATGACTACCTATTGTGTTGATTGCTTAACCTATGGAGATGACTACCTATTATGACTCTACCTTGTGCTTAACCTATGGAGATGACTACCTATTATGACTACCTTATCTATTGTGATGTTATGACTACCTTATCTATTGTGACTACCTAAACTACTGAGATGACCAAGAATCAAACCTTAGTACGTTCTTTCATGCAAAAAGCTTCTTTCTTTATGGTGTCCCGGCTCTGGATGTTGGACTGGAATATAATAGCCAGCACCTAACCTAATGTGACAACCTAGGAAGAACTGATATGGAAGTTGAACGATAGGTTATGAATTCTATTTTGTGAGACCAATGATGATTACTTATTATTCTAATCCACGTAAGAAGAAAAGTTATTAAAATTTTATGCCAGGATAAAGGCATGTTATAAATTTTTAAAATTACTAAAATGTAAAATCATAATGGATAATATTGATATTTTTTTTGATTTCTTGAATGATGACGAATTGTTGTTAATTAACAAAACCTAAAGATGAATTCTTAAATATAATTAAAAATATTAAAAATCCTAAACAAGAAGATAAAACTTAATTTTAAATATGTTAAAATGTAATTTTTAAATCACATGATTGATTCAAATAACCCTTATAAGTAATACTTAATATGATAAAAAGTTTTTGAAATTAAAAGCTTTGAAGACAAAAAGTTATGTAAAAAAACATTCATTTTAGAAAAATATATTTAAATTATGTGGTGAATTTTCAAAATATCTTATGAAGAATTTTTTTTTTTGAATTAAAATTAGGGTGTGAAATTTAAAATTTTATTTAAAGAGAGGGAAATGTGAATAATATTTTATTTGCATATTTTAACCTGGGAGATAGAAAATAAACAAAAATTAATTAAACACTAAAACACGAAAAATTAAACGCTTATAAAATATAAAACGATAAAAATATAAAACGCATAAAACGCTAAAAGTATAAAACGCTATGATTAACTTAAAAATAATATAATAATTATTATGATTTATCGTTCCTTATTCTGGATTAAAATTTTATTCCTTATTCCATAAATTATCATTCCTTATTATATATTTTATTGTTCCAAAATTCAAAATTTTATTCGTGCATATTATTCATATATTTGATTTGATCAACTATTCCAAATTATATATTCCGATTTATTCCAAATTCCAATATTCGACTGGATCAATTATGAAATTTGAGAAATGTGAACAACGTACGATAAGGATATCAAGCTAACGATAACGTTCAACGATTTCATCAAACCTACGAGAACATTTGAGACTTATGCGCTAACCAAGAAGAAACCGAATACAATCGAAACGGGAAAAACTTCTAGAACAACAAACTCTCTATATTTCTCCGATGAAATTATCAGAAGAGGGAGAATGTTGCGTTATTCTAATTTCTTAATCTTATTATATATTTTTATAATCTAATTTTTTGTTATTTGTTAAAATCTAATTTTATTTTATAAACGGCGTAACCTTACTTTTTTATATATTATTTTTTTTGTATTTCGTTTTATATTCTAATTTATATTTTAGAAAAGGTATAAATACCTTAAGAAAGAGTTAATAAAATATATTTTTACTGACTCGAACCTCGCGCAATATCGTTAAGATCTTAATTCTTTTCATAACCATATTAGCAAAGCTAAATAATCTTTCAACGGGGGCTAAGGAGGGTAATATTGTGTTATATTTAATAAATATTTCTTTTATATATTTATAACTATTTAACATATTTATACTCCGCCTGTCATCTTTCATATAATTTAGGACACCTATTTCAATATAATTTATTGAATTATTAGAATTAGATGTGGTACTTTTAAGGCAAAAGTAATCATCATCTTCATCGATTGAAGATTTTGTTGAAGTATTAATTTCAATATTATTTTTAAAAACAATTAAAACTTCATGTAATAATAAAATCCTGAAAGTATTTTTTCTTTTTCACCATCAATCCAACGATTTTTAAAATCGGGATGAGAAATAGTTGCCAAAAATGCACTTTTAAAATTGTTATCAAAATCATGTATATTTTTAAATCTTTTATTTAAATAATTTTCTAAGGCAATAGCTATTGGTTTGCAAAATTGTAGATTGGTTTGAATTAAATTTGTAATTTTTTTTAACGACATTTAAAATTAGAGCTGATTCTTCATAATAGCAGTTGATTTCACTCTGTGTTTTGTCAATCGCTATAGCCAATGGGGCCATTATATTGCAATATTCTTCTAAATATTGAATTTCAATATCTCTTAATTTAGGAAATTCTAATTTTTGACATAATTTAGGAAGTTCGCCTTTAAATTTTAATAAACTATGAAGACTATCATACAAACTATTCCATCTAGTGTAACTAATTGTTTTCCTAAAACTGCATTGATAAGTTCTGCAGGTTTAGGCCTATTATTTGCATTCCATAGCTTAGTACATTTAGCTATTGCAGGATGATGAATTTTAGAAATGTTAGGAGAATCCTTAATAGCTCTCTCGACATCTGTTGTGGCAATTAAACTTATCGTATGGCACAAACAACGAATGTGTTGAGGCAATGTTATTGAAGCTTCTTTAGACCCTTAAATAAACTAATAAATAATTTTATTTGAATAAAATTTTTTACTAAATTTACAATATCATAATAAATTTTAAAGAAGTATTAAATAATACTTTCAATGATTTCGAATTCTATACATTCATCATCATTGATGTCAAAGTCATTCTCTACAGCTTCCATAGAATATCCAAACTCCTTGAAAGCTTTCTTAAAGTTAGAGCCGTTAATTGTAACAGTTGCTATAACTTTTTCGTCAATACCAAATTCACGATAAATTTCTTTATTATGATCATCTTGAAGTACTTCAAAAAATTTACCATTAAGTATGCTTAGTTTAAATTTATTGTTATAATTTTCGGTTGAAGAATCATCTGAAGACGAAGATAAACATATTATTCTATTTTCTTCTTCCATAATTAGACAGATATAAAACGATTCAAATATGGTAGTTCTAATTGTTAGCAAATTGCTATATGACGACCAACGTCATATATCAAAAATTATCTTAAAATATCTAAATTTTGATTAAATTTTACATTTAAATCTTAAAACAATATCATTTTAAATTTTAATACTATTTAAATTAACCAATATAAATTTTTTTTAAAGTATCTGTATCTTTTTGAATACAAAGTTGGTTAAGATACAAATACTTTTAAATAATATGTATCTTAGATACTGGATACAAGATACTTTCCAAAATTTTAAAAATTAGATACAAATATCCGCGATACTGCCCAACCCTGGGTATTCTTTTTTTCCGTCTTTGGTCAAAATCGAAACGCAATCTTTCTTGCCTGGCATGATTCTGCTTATTTCGTCCATACAATAAAATTTGGGGTTAGGTGTTGATAGAAATCAAAATACCAATAAATTAATTAAAAAATGAATTAAAATAGTGAGCATAATTTTAAAATTTTTATTTATTTTATTGATTGAAACACTTATTTATTGTTATTCTAATTTAGTAAGGCTATGCTGATTTTAGAAAATCCGATCCAATATTTATATTGTTTTGGGTTATTTTATGATAATACTTTTATTTTGTATATAATTTCATAATAATACTTTTATTTTATATATAATTTCATAATAATACTTTTATTTTGTATATAATTTCATAATAATAATAAATTAATATTTGTAATATTTTAAAAATATCAAATTATTTTAAAAAATTGAGTAGAGAAAATTTTGATATTATTTTTTGGCGTTTATGAAATGCACAAGATTCTGATTCATATATTCAAGAACTATAAACTTGGTTAAATATATTTTATTAATATTCATTAAATATATGCTATATGGGCATAATTTTTATAATAAATTATAAATAAAGTAATAAATTGAATTTCTTTTATCGATATACAATTTCTATAATTGAACGAAAGCCCCATTTATTGTTATTTTCACTTACAAGATGAATAATCCTTTAAATTATATCAAATAGTCCAAGAAAAACCATTAAAAACTGATTAATATATAATTTTATACAAAGACGCTCCCTTTCGGGAAAATATTTATACACTTTTCTATTTTTATCGATTTTGAGAATGAAGATGGCCGCGTCCCAAACCAATTTTTTTATATAAATATAAAGGAAGAGTTTAATAATGTCTACTAAATTTTTAAAAATAATTGAAGGTCGTATTATTTCCAAAAAATTTGACTATAGTCTTTATATATTAAATAAAATGGCCGAAATTGGTAAAAAAAATAAAAAATTTTTTTTTTATCTAAAAGTAGAATCTTTGTACGTAATTTTGATATTAAATTCGTTATTTACAATTATGTAGTTTTTAAGATATGTTTAATTGAATGAAGGCAGCTTTGAACCCTAATATCTTCAAAAATATAAATGTTAGGAGGCTAAAATTTTGGCTATTTCTTAGTTATATTGACCTTTCAATGTTTACCAAATTTTAAAAAAATCGAAAGGGGTCGGCCGAAAATCTCATTTTTTTCCTCATTTGATGTTGAATCACCCTGTTATATCATACAGCTCTACTAACATTTATCACTCATCGGACGAGGCTTATAATAAAATTTTTTTTGCTATTCAAAGATAAGTAAGCATTATATGAGGATAAATTATATTATATAATTAGCTATAACTTCACTAAAAAAAAAATTAGGCACTACACAAGAGAGATTTTCCTGTGCCCACTCCTGTATCTCATAACAGGCATTGCGTTCTCATGGAACTCATGAGAGATCATGTCCCACTTAATCAATTATGCCCACTTCAAAGTAATATATGTTATGTTAAAAAAATACATTTAAGAGATTGGGTAAAGTTTATGTATTAAATAACTGGTTTTTTTTAACGGATTAGGTATAGTTCTATTCAGGGCATAATATTGAATCTGGTTCAGTTCAAGGCAGGTTCAACAAAAAGGGGTTTGGATTGATCAACATATTTTTAAAAGGTTTGATCCGATATTGGGTCAAACCCGATCCGATAGTTATATTGATTTTTTACCACCCCCCTTTGAATCAAATTAATTAAAAAAATCCATATTTCCTATGCAAAAAATCAAATTATGCTTTTTATATTATTATTCTTCTAATAAGTCTATCAAAACCAATTCTTTAAGCCGATAGAAAAAATTTGATTCTCAAAAGAATAAAAATTGGCTGTGATGTTGTTTATTATATAAAAAAAATCAATTATTAAAACTACAATTAGTTAAAAATACTATATTTTACAACTAGAAATTATGCAATCATGTGTTATTTCTAATGCCATTTTCTTTAATAAGTAACGGAGGAAAAACTAAATTTTGGCAGGTATTAAAATTGCGATAGGAAAATATTTTTAATCTTTGTTAATTAGAAATATATTGTGGTGGAGCAGACCTCAGATTTACTTATGAACAACACTCAGTAGGGAGGTGCCCTTGATGATATATATATTCAAAATTAAAATTGTATATTCTCAAAAAGATCAATAAATCCCTCAAGTATTGTTCAATAACATTTTACCTGTAAACCGATCATTACGTCGGAGGATTATAGACATAAAAATTTCACACTTGGAACTCCCCTTGTGACTCAGTGGCACACAGGCGAAACAATTTTGCTTGAAACTGACCGAATGAAGGGGAATTTAAGCTAAAAGACAAACAATCGTAAATGGTTACCGATTCAGGGTCGAACGTTAAAAGAAGGACAAAGTTTAGATGAGTATTATATTCATTTATGTCTTGGTCATTGTCTTCACAATCTGGTGACGGTTGATAGCATTAAAATGTTTCAATAATAGAAGATGTCATTAAAAAAATCCTTGAATTAATAATATACCAAACGACGGATCTCGAGTTTTCTATATAAAGATATTTACAAATATCGCAATCAACGTCGGCCGCGTGAATATTTAAAAATGGTTGGCGGCGGCAGCACTGGTCGAGTACTGGTCATTGATTTAAATATGATTGTATACTATTTGTTTGTATGTTCTAACCTCACTACTTCTTAATAGAGCAGTATTTGTTATTTATTCCTTTACACTCTTTACTCCTAATTCTTTAGAGTATATTAAATATATGCATATGATATGAGAAGCTCTTTTATGTATTAAAATATTTCCTTAATCTAAATTTATACTAATGGTTTTTTATCTTCAATCTGTTTTATGCATTATCCATAGCTCATTTGTGAGTTGTGGTTATGCAACTAATTTGTATTTTATAACGATGAGACTTATCTTTTCAAATGATCAAATTTGATTTTCTTATATTTGTAAAATATTAATTCTTTTTAAATAATAAATGAAAGAGTATCACATAAATTAGATGGTATAAAATTTTTATTCATAAAGCCCTGTTTAAAGCTTTGGTTATATAAAATGCAACGAAGCCTGTGAACCCTCGATATTTTACTAAACCCAATCTCGAACTCTTAAAATTTAGTTCAGAGTAGAGATCTATAAAAGTAGGCCCAGGCCCGGTGTAACGTGTGAAAGTGATCTGTGAGATTTCGAAATCTCACGCAATCACTTTCACACGGATGGGTTGTGAGATTTTGATGATAATGGCCCCCAATGTTTTTGAAGCGATAAATGCAAAAATTTTCATGACATGAATTTAAATGATAATATAATATAGAGACAATAATGGTATAAAACCTAACTGTTAAATTATAATCTATGTTTTAGAATAATATTTTAATAATGCTTTGCAAGATATATATATCGTTTCATTTTAAGAACTCATCTTTATTTTTTTAAGATCATTAAGTCGAATAATGAGAGCTGTAAAATCAAGGTACATCATTAAAGTTAAGGATATAAAATATAACATAGAGACAATAATGGTATCACACCTAAATATTTAATTATAATCTATGTTTTAAAATAATATTTTAGTAATGCTTTGTAAAATATATTGTTTCATTTCAAAAGCTCATCTTTATTTTAACATCATTAAAGTTAACAATATAATAAAATTTCTCTTTTTGATATATATAAATTTAATTTAAAAGTAGATTATATATAACAAATAAAATTAAGTATTATAAGGTGTGGTGGGTAGTCTAGTTAGTAAGACTTACATTACCTATCCTCAAAATGCGTGTTCAAATCCATGTAGAGTACATTTTTTATTTAAATTGTTTTTTTTATCTATCTTATCTAAATAGTCGCCGCCTCTCTATAGTTTTAAATTTATATTTTTAGTCTGCATATCATACCAAATAGTGTGTGATAAGATATGCAGATTAGAGGTCTGTAATGGGCGGGTTTTTAGCGAAAAGATTTATTTAACCTGCCCTCGCTCTCACTTATAATTTTTTTTATATATATTTTGTTTTAAAATTATTTTATGGCTGGTTTGGCTCTTTATTTATTTTATTGTATTTTTAATTAAACATATAATATGGAATATTATGAAAAACTATTTACTGTTCTGATCATTTTGCCTGAAAAATATCAAATTCTCCCAAATTTTTTAACCCTCTCGCCCAATGTTGAAAATATTTTTTTTAAAGTACGGGCGAAAAAACCACCCAATCCAGACCTCTAGTTCAATTATTGATAGGAGGCTCCAATCAATATCATAATTAAAGTTTAGCAATATTTAGGTAGGTAAGAGATCCTTACTAACATGCTAATTTACACAACATGAAATTTATAAAATAACCAAATACTCCGATCCCATGATATTTCTTATACAAACATCTTCTCGATAGACATTAATTTAGACAAAGCTCATATATGACAGAAAATTTACTAGAGGCAAACCGCCTTTTCTACCCAACCCTCTAAAAATCACAGCAAAGAAACAGTAAGATAAATTATTAGCCTAAATGGCTTAATCGTAATGCTTATTTTGTTTACCTAATATAATGTTTTAAAGATAATCCATCTCTATATTATTTTGTACTGAATTGGGTCACAAATATTAGATAAAACTTTATTTAGTATAAGAAAATAGACGAAGAACTTTATTGATATAAATATTTATACATAATTTTAAATTTAATAAAAACATCATGGAAAAATATATAATTATTATCATATATTGCATATCAGAATGTAATTGAATATTATTTATAAACTACAACTTTCATAAAAAATATATATATAAGGCGATAAATTATAATATGAATGAAATATAATTATATATATTTATATAAAAATTTTTTTTTAATAAAAATAATAAATAGTGATTAGATGGAAGATAAATCGCAATCTAAAACATTTTCAAAATGACTCCCCCCATTTTTTATATAAATAAAATTATTATTAAATATTTTAATATTGTCGCGAATATAAAATGGGTCATATCGGGCCCATACAAAATTATCATTATATTTTATATAAGTAAAAATAGCCGTATTTAACATTGTGGCCATCGCCCTGACTTCTGTGTCAGAAGCCCATATCTTCTGTGTCATTACATTATTTGAGACATAAGTTTTTATCTCTATTTTTTTGTTCGTCTCGTAAAGATAATTTTCAATTACCTTTCCCATCTCGGATGTTAGCATAAATTGTGCCAACCATTGCCTGAGAATAACATGGGAATTTTGAGCTCCAGTAAGCTCTACACTAATCGCCCTAAATTATATAAATTAAACAAAATGAAATTTTATTCTAATATGTTTTACCTATAAAAACAATTCCCATCACCTTCAATTTGCACCAGGATGGTGGGTTCACCAAGTTGTTTCCCATAGTCTACATCCCGACAACGTTTGGGAGGCTTTAAACCATATATTTTAGCATGATATTTTTTCCATACCTTTGTTGTAGGAAAAAAATATCTAGGGATATTTTCTAATTTATTTATCATCAAAATATCATCATCCAATTCTGTATACGTAATAAATTAAAAATAAAATCAAATATATATCAGAAATAACATTACCTATGGGAGTCTTTGGATTGATAAAATCCCTGTCAAGCTGAATATTTTTATCTTTAAACTCAACATTTTGGGAACCACTATCTATAGGTAACACATGTGCTGCTTTATTTTCAAAAAAATAATTCAAATATATCCTATATACAATACCTCTGGGAGACTTTGGATCAACAAACTCCATAGCAAGTGGAATAATTTGATCATAAAGGCCATTTTGGGAACTACTATCTAAGGCAATGCATTAATTTAAAAATAATTATAATGTTATTAAATATTAATTTTTGTATCTAAAAATATTTTTTTTACTTCATAAAAAATGTAATTTTTTAAAAATCATTACCATTTTCATCTGGATATATTTTGTTTTTAATATGAGATTATTTGTGGTTATTAATTCATATACACCTTGATACAATTAATAATTAATATAAAATTATTACCCTTATCAAATATTTTATTGATCAAATAAGGGCCTATCCAGGGGTTCAACATTTTCCCCCCTTTCCTATCTGACCTTTTATGGTTCCAAGCAAGAACCTTTTGTCCCAAAATAAAAGATTTAGAACCATTTGATCTTTTTTCGTAATCCTTTTTTTGTTTAAGCTGGGCTATACCAATATTTTGTATAGCCAGTTTGGTTATTTTTTTAAGATGAGCCATTTTAATTTCTAACTCTTCTTTTAAACAATGATCAATTGTTATTTTTGCCATAACCTCTGGTAAGGCTAATACATCCTCAATTTTGTTTTGTAACTAAATAATAATTAAAAATATAACATTAAAAATTATTTCTACTGTAAGAGGGCGTCGTGGTTTCTGACCATACATCAGTTCATAGGGCGAAAATCCCGTAGAAGAGTGTATGCAAGAATTGTAGGTGCCACA